AATATATTAAAAAAATAAAAAAGAGGGCAACCGCGACCACGCATGCCGTAACGTGGTGTTCGACAACAACAATAAACGCTCGGCATCTTCTTGCAAATACTGGTGTGGGATAGACGGCGTCGAATTCGTCGTCAATGTCGCCACGGGGGTCGGAGGTGACGGTGATCACTCCAAACCAGGCCGCACCCGGCCCTTCATCGCTGCCTGTGCTGCCGGCAAGGAGGTTGACGGGCTTGCTGTGTACGCAACTTGGCAAGTCTGGTAGGCATTTTCACTGCTAAATAGATTGGTGGCGTTGTGCTGTTGAATTGATCGTTTTCAGTTGTGCTGTTGCGGAGGACTGCTCATCTTTCGTTGCAGACGCGCGTACGGTCACGAGGTAGACAGAGACGTTGCAACCCATACCATTGCAGCAGCCACTACTGTTGTACGCTGCTGTACACGGAGCTGAAAATACTGTGATGTGGAAGTCACAGCAGGGGGGGCTGTTCGAAGCTTTTTCATGCATATGCTAAAGCCGCAAAAAAAACTATAGAGATAAGAGTCATCATAAGGGGATCGATTATTGATGCAATGAGTAACTATCCCCTCAAGAAGATCATGCCTCTCGAGTTAGTTGCGGCTTTAGCACGTGCGTGAAAACGTTTCCTACAGCCCACCAAACTTCCAGCTCGGTGTACAGCGTACTACAACAGCAGTGACTTCAAAAAATGGTAATGTCTACAGTATCTCTGTCTGCCACCACGGCCATACGCTTATCTGCAACAAGAGATGACACGCCCCCCGCCCCGCAACCAAAAACGCGCTGAATTGATACTTGTGCGACTTCTGCGACGCAGCATGTGGACGGTGAATCTACCAGGACGTCGTGTTCTTTCGCAGTAGTCACTGAGACGGTTAGCGGCGATCTTCAGAAGCACCTTGCGTGCGTGTTAGGGGTGTGTGTACTCATAGTCGTGCATGCCGTAGTCGTTAGACCATTGACCTCCCATCCCTACAAACGTGCGTGCTAGGGAAGGGATATATCCCCCTGTAGTAGCTAGGCTCGATCCGACTTGTTGTATTGTAGGGTGGCATATTTTCATTTCCGCGCCCCCCCCCCCCCCCCCCCCCCCCTTCCCCCCCCCCCCCAAAAAAAAAAAAACCCCCTTTTTCCCATAAACTGGCCCAAACCCCCCCTTAAAAAATCCAAATTTGGGAAAAACAAACCACTGGGTAAGTGCCCTTCCGG